ACATCCTTGTCTGTCTTATTCCTGATCTTACAGGAAAAATCTGTTTTTCACCATTGTGTATGCTGTTAGCTGTGGGTTTTCACATATGGCTTTTATTATATTGAGGTATGTTCCTCTAAACTCACTTTGTTGAGAGTTTTTATCATGAACAGATGTTGAATTCTGTCAAGTGTTTTCTCTGCATCTTTTGAGATGACTATACGATTGTTATTCTTTGTTAATGTTAATGTGTATCATGTTCATTGATTTGTGAATATTCAACCATCTTACATCCCTGGAATAAATCCCACTTGAGTGTGGTGAATGATCCTTATAATGTATTGTTGAGTGCAGTTTACTAATATTTTGCTGAGAATTTTTGCATCTGTGTTCATCATGAATAATTGACCTGTAGTTTTCTTTTTTGTGGTGTCTTTGTCTGCTTTTGTTTTCAGGGTAATGATGCCCCTGTAGAATTTGGTTGGAAGCTTTCCTTCCCCTGCTATTGTTGGAATATTATGAGGAGTATAGATAATAACTATTCTTTAGATGTTCGGTAGAATTCACCTGTGAAGTCATCCGATCCTGGATTCATATTTTTTGGTAGATTTTTGATTACCAATTCAGTTTCATTACTAGTAATTAGTCTCTTCAGATTTTTTATGTCATCCTGATTCAGTTTTTTAAGGTTGTACGATCCTAGAATTTTATCTATTTCTTCTAGGTTGTCCATTTTGTTGGCATATAATTTTTCATTGTATTCTCTTATAATCCTTTGTATTACTGTGGTGTCAGTTGTTACATCTCCTTTTTTGTTTCTGACTTTTTTGTTGAGGATTTTTGCATCTGTGTTCATCAGAGATATTGGCCTGTGGTTCTCTCTCTCTCTCTTTTTTTTTTTTTTGGTGGTATTTTATCTGCCTTTGGTATCAGGGTAATACTAGCCTCATAGAGTGAATTTGGAAGTTTTCTTTCCCCTTCTACTTTTTGGAATATTTTGAGAGGAATACACATTAACTCTTTAAATGTTGGGTAGAATTCACCTGTGAAGCCATCTGGCCCTGGACTTTTGTTTGTTGGGATTTTTGATTACTGACTGAATTTCATTGCTGGTAATTAGTTTGTTAAAATTTTCTATTTCTTCTTGATTCAGTTTTATATTTTTCTAGGAATTTATCCATTTCTTCTAGGTTGTCCAATTTATTGGCATATAATTTTTCATGATATTCTCTTACAATCTTTTCTGTTTCTTTGGTGCTGCTTGTTATTTCTCCTTTTTCATTTCTGATTTTGTGTATTTGAAGAACCAGCTCCTGGTTTTGTTGATCTATTCTATTGTTTTTTTAGTTTCTGTGTCATTTATCTTTGCTCTAATACTTATTATTGCCTTCCTTCTGATGGCTTGGGGCTTTGTTCTTTTTCTAGCTCCTTTAGGTATAAGTTTAGGTCGTTTATTAGAGATTTTTCTTCCTTCTTGAAGTGGGCCTGTATTGCTATAAACTTCCCTCTTAGAATCACTTTTGCTGCACCCCAAAGATTTTGGACCATTGTATTTTCATTTTCATTTGTTTCCATGTACTTTTTGATTTTTTTCTTTGATTTCTTGGTTGACCCATTCATTGTCCAGTAGCATATTATTTAATTTCCATGTATTTGTGCTCTTTCCAGACTTTTTCTTGTGGTTGATTTCTTATTTCATAGCATTGTGGTCAGAAAAGATGCATGGTATGACTTTGATCTTTTTGAATTTGTTGAGACTTGTTGTGGGTTTCTGGACATGTCTGCTGGTAACATCCTTGGGTAGGTGAGGCTTCCTGTCAGGGTCTATTTTTGGGTGAGGCCACTGCCCAAGCTCTGAGGTTGGCATGGGGGCAGGGGATGCCACTAGCTGAGAACATTTGGACTGCTGGCTTGGTTTCCTTCCTAAGCAAGGCTGTAGGCTAGGTTCTGTGGTTTCCTAGGTTCTCTGGTCAGGCTTCTAGATGTTCAGGGCTGGGTACTATTCTCAGTAGTGCATAGGGCTATGAATTAATATTATAGAATGGCAACTCTGGAAAATCAATTTTCCTTTGTCTTCAGGGTTTGTCTTGCTGCCTGTTTTAGGTGTTGGTTGGTTTAATGACGTTTTTAACTCATTTTGTAAAGTCTGTGTTCTTTGTCACATGTGACCACTGTAGTCTTGCTTGTGTTACTGTAGTGGTCAGCTAGTGATCTGACAGAGTTCGTTAGACGCCTGGCACCCCCTCTCCTCAAAAGTATCCTATTTTTAGCAGATGGGCTCTCTTGTGTGTTGGGGAAAACCTTCAACTTTCAGCCAGGCAACATACAACTCTACCATAACCTTCGCTTTCTGCTTATGGAGAATCTGAAGGTCAAAGTTGAGAGTTTAGAGCCTCTCAGATTTTTTTTTTTTTTTTTAGAGCATTCCCTGAGCTCTTTATGTGTGTTTAGCCCTCTAGATTCCTGACTATGTGGAAGTTTTTCAAAGTCCTTATTCTTTTTATTCCCCAGCCTTTCCTCCCAAGCTTTTCAGTTTGTCTGTTGTTTATCTCAGGTGTTATCCCTTATCCAGGTGGTAGCAGCTAATGCATTTACTTTCAAGTGTTTTTGAAAAACACCCCCAAGGTAGTTGCCTCCAATTTGGGAGAGTTCCCAGTAAGAAAAAATAAAGGCAAGCCTTACAGCTGGTACTTCAGGAAGCCAAAATACAGGACTACATAATCAACCTCGGTTCTTTGATAATAAGGTCCATTTTCCTCCCTCTCGTACTAGGAACTTAAACCTAGAATGTGGGCAGTTGTCTTCCAAGATGTCACTGAGAAGGGAAGCAGGGGATAAGGCGAGGCTGTTAAAGGCTTTTTTCCTTCCCTGGTTGCTGTAAATTGTAATTAGTTTCTAGAACTCTGATGAAGTTGATGCTGACAGTTTTTGCCAGTTTATTTGCTGCTTTTGTGGAAGAACATGCTTTTGGAATTCCCTACTCCATACTGTTTTCAGTGACAGCACTGTATGCTTATTTTTAAATATGATTTATGAATATATTAAAACCATCATTAACCACAAATGCAACTGAGTACTGAAAATGCAGCAAGAAGTATGGTGATGTTGAAGTGATGTAAACAAAGAATCAGAACTATTAACATTCCATGGCTCTCTCTTCAAACATCATTTTTATAGATAGTGTATGTTAGTGGCCAGTGCAGTATACTTATGAATTAGGAACAACTGGACTAAAAAGAGCATTTTGAACCCTAAGCAGTCTGTTAGTGGAAGGGATTCTACAGGTTGTGTGTGTGTGTGTGTGTGTGTGTGTAAAGATGAGCTATGAAGTTGGACATCAATAGATGTTATATTCCAGTGGTTGTCTAATTATGTTCATAAAGTTCTAGTGTTTTCTGTGATTTGGACTGACTTGTTGAAGTAAGGGGGATTGACAAGAAAGGTCACAGATGGTGAGGTTCCAAGCTTCCCGCTTCTGTAGTCAACCACCACTATAATTCTGTAGATTATATTATGGTTCTATGAAATTTTTTGCAAGTTAGCTTCCACTGCTAAAAACTCATAAAAACAACAAATAGACTGAAATACAGGACTGCACGATAAATATGCCTGGTTGTAAATACCATGGGACTTTGGGCAAAAAGAATCTCTGTGATCTGGAATGGAATTAGGGTTACACTATATTAAAAATTTATCCCAGTCTTAACCTGACTGCAAAATCCCCAGAGATGTCTATAGGCACCATTATTTTCTTACCACCTTAGCTTCATACAAAATAGGCACTTTGTAAATATCTATTATCTTAGCTATGTAAGGAAATAAGGTTAGATAAGCCTGTGGGACCAGATTATAGTGGATTTGAAGCCTAAAAAAAGTAGATAAATAAAATTACTGAGAACAAAATGTCATCATACAAAGTTTAAGGAAATGGTAGATGATAAGAATTACAGCAGAAACAAGCATTAAGACAGAAAACTACTGCTATTTTGGTCAATACATAGGCTTAAGAAAGCCCTCACTTTTAGGTATTTGATGTATTGTGGGGAGGGAGTTAAAAGGACTAAACATAATTCTTGACCTCAAACAGCTTCAGGTATGTAGAAAAGGCTTAGAGAGAAGGAGTAGGTTCAAGGAGAGCCGAGAGATGGATGAGCAGCTCTGGAACTTCTACCTTGAAGTTTTCTGAAATAAGAATTTAAAGAAGAAAAAGAGTTGAGTCTTTTGGCTTATGGTTACAGCCAAGTATGAAATTTAAAAACTTGATCTCTTATGATAGATGTGAGAATAGTGTTATCTTTAGGGAGAGGTGTGTGAGGGAGCCTTCTGGGGTACTAGAAATATCTTGATCTAGGTGTTGGGTTTCATGGATGTTTTAATCCAAGTTATATAATTTTTAGAAATTGCTATATATTTTTAAAAATTATCTTTTTATGATTGGACAACTCTCTGGGATTTATGCTTACAAAATGGATACTCACAGTCAAGGAGAAATGTTTAGATAAGTAAATCATTTTAATTTTTATACCATAAAGATCAAGTCATATTTACATTTGCTTAGTCAATGACTCATCACATCACCTTCTAGTCTGTTTGGTGACTACACTTAGGAAGATGTCCTGTGGTCATAAATGTTTCCATCTTATGCTTTCCTTTCTCATCTTCTCAAATGTTAAATGCAAGCTGTTACGGAGGGGAAAAAGTAGCTCCTTGGTATCTGCGGACAACACTATACTTGACAAACTACACTACAGCAGGGAGGTCCCTTTGGAGTGAGTGTTCCCATTTTCTATCACACCAGCATCATTCAAAAAGTTAGTACAGAAAATCCTTTCTTATGCTGAGAACATCCTGAAGTTTTCACCAGATAATTTCTGATTTCTTTGCTGAGCAATATTTCTTAAATTGATAAGAAAAAAAAAAGACAATTTTCCCTTGTTAAAAAGACCATAATTAATAAAAGCTTATGAAGCATGTTTATTACCTAACCATAATATAATTAATGCATGGCAGAAAAAAATCTCTTGGGTTTAAAAATAGCTTTATTTAGCATACCAAAAACACAGAAACATAAGAAAAACCTTACCTAGTATAAACATAAAAATAGTTAAATACCATAATTTAATGTAAACCAAGTGTTTAAAAATGTGAATTGTAATAAAATACATGCTATTTACACAGAACCAAGTTATTGTCTCAGATCATCAATCTTGAAGTCATCATTAACAATGAATCAATCAAACACAGCATTTGTATTTGTACTGGTCAGTAAAAAAAAAGAAATCCTTTAATTCACTTTAAACAGATATAATTCCAAGCAGAAAGGCAAAGTGCCAGTTGTAGGATTCCAGACACAGCCACTGCATGTGGAGGCCTGGAAATCATTCCACTGGAAGACCATTAAGCCCAGTGTCTCATTTAAATGCAAACTGGTTGATTCAATTTAGTTACTGCTTAAGAAAGGTACTAAATATGTCTGCAAAAATAAACCTTTCTTAAAAATGACCAAAGGTGAATGTAATATCAATCATGTAAGAAAGGCAAAAGCATAAAAAATACATATTATTCCAGACGAGCCCCTTTAATTATAACAAATGTTAAGAAACTCAGTTTATAAAACCAGATGGGGCAGCAAAAGGGTTTTGAAAAATGTAAAACTAAGTCAAAATCAAACAAACCAAACCTAAGAGAATGTTTCTTGAAGAAAGTGGTATTTTTGTTTATCCTGTCATTATCCCATGAATGCTGCCATGAGATCTATGGCTGGTGTCAGTTATCACTACAGAGTGGTGTGTTTTCTTTGACCAACAGGTGAAAAAGCTGTAGCCATTGATTAGATTAAGCATTTGGCCTTTGCTTCAAGAACCAACATCCATTCTCATATTGTAATGCAGGTATCTCTAAGAGGCAGCATTAAATCCAGTATCAGGACTTTAAAATATAAAATAAAGTTGCAAGAATATATACGTAGTAATAGAATATCCTGCTTTCTCCTGTAATTCTAAAAGTTGTGATTTCCAGACCCCTTTACACTCCTTAAAATTTATTAGAGACCTGGATGTTAAAGAGCTTTTGTTTATATAGTTTATATCCATCAATATTTGCCATATTAGAAAATAAAACTGAAAAAAAATTTAAGTATTCAAAAATTAAAGTTTATTACATGCTAACATAAATAACATGTTTAAGAAAATAGCTGTATTTCCTAAAACAGAAAAAAGATTTGTGGGAAATGGCATTGTTTTACACTTTCAACTACTTTTTGAGACACGGAGTGAAAAGACAACTAATGCCTTTGTATTATTATGAAAATAGTTTTGATCTCACAGGTGCCCTGAAAGGCTCTCAAGGACTCCCAGGGGTTCATGGGCCAGGCACACTTTAAAAACTGCTGGTTTAATCTAAGGCCTAATGTTAATGACCAAAAAAAAATCCACACAAAAGGAACCTTAATTTTCCTTTAAAAATAAACCAAAATAGTCATACATGCACACACAAGTCACTGGATCAAACACTCCCATTTTTAGCTGTAAGAAGCCAAAAGTCACCATGTGCTCACAGTCAAATTCAAAATAATAGTCATTTCAACTGAGACCAGGGTCAAGATTTATTAATTTTTAGTTCATGAAAGCTACAAAACCTATTAACTAAACATATACATCTTAGTTCCCTTTCCAACATCTGCTAAATCCTGTTTGTGCTAAGCTGGCTGTCATCTCTTGAACTGGCACAGCATTGGTATAGACCAGAGAGGGACAGAAGTATAATACAGCCCACATACTCAGATCAGGAGCATGTTAGCCATTAATGGAGCGGCTCCTCTAGTTCTCACTATGTGAAAGCTCTGATACATTTTAGGGAAACGGAGAAAATTCTCCCTGAAGCACAGTAAGAACAATGCTATGACATCACACGTAGGCAGCTCTTCACATCTTACAAATCACTTTCATACACACCACCTCATTAGATCCTTTTAAAGCCCCTGGAGATGGGCAGGCCAAATGACATTATCCGTTTCAGAGTTAAGGAATCTGAGGTGCAGATATGGGCCTTTCCCAGAGCACCGTGGCAAGTACCTTTTTTACAGAACAGGATGAGAATTCAGGTCATCTGAGTCCTAGTTCAGGGTTTCCCCCCAGCATTCCTCCTTTTTGGGGTTCTAGGGCAGGATTGGGAGAGGGGCCTGTGGGGATGAAGATGGAGGCAGCAGGATATGGCTGATGCTTCCAGAACCTGTGTTCCTTCTGCCTCAATTAACCATTTTCTCCAACACTAAGGAGGCTTGGGAGTGGCACAGCCATTTCCCTGACCAATATAGTAAATTTTCCATCAGTGCATACATAATGGAACTTTATATGAAACAACTTCTTTCTGAGCCAGTTTATGTTGGCAGTTAATTCATAGCCTGTTCCCTCTACTCCACGGGAAAAGAAAGAAAAATCCTGCACTTAAAAAAAAAAATGATGAAAATACAAAACGAAAGAGCAACAATAATGAGATCTAGGTAAAACTATAACAGATTTATTGTGCACCTGGCACAACACAGACTTTGCAGTTTTCCCCCACCAACTGAAGAGCAATATAAAATCACAGTTCTTAATTTAATGGAAAAACGCCTCCTAAGCATCTTGAGGCAAAGACTCCAGTCTATACAAAAACTAAGAAAATAATTTCAAGAATTTTAACTAAATTCTTAGGTTCTTATAGATTCTGTGGTGGTAGGAGAGGGAGTAGACAGTAGAGTAAAAGGCAATAAAATAGCAAAAAGAAAATAATTTTGTCACAAATGAGCAAAGGAGAAATCTGTATCTATTCCCTGTCATTAATACATATAACTACTTTAGAAACTATTATGTTACCAGGAAATCCTCTCTACCAAGATGTTAATACAAATAGCATGAGACATTCAAAGACACTAAGCAACACTGTTTAATTTGGGGGTGAGCGGGTGGGGAAAGGCAGTCAACAACAAAATCCTTCCTCCAAAACTAGCCAAATGTCACTAATGACCAATGATATTCTTGCTATACGCTATAAATAAAGTATCCTTTATTTGTGCCTTCCTTCTCTGTTTCTGAGATGTTCCTAAAATCAAGATGGAATACATGCATTTATTTAAGGTAGTTGAAGAAAAAGGGATGTCAACAAAATCCAGGAAGAATTAGAAAACATGCTAAGTTCATCTTATTTTCAAAATTCAACAGCATGTGGCTATTACACAAATTGTTGGTGTCTCCCCCCACCCCCAATTTTGGAGAGTAATATTTTCTTTATAGGTGATTTAGACAGAAGTTAATGGCTTTTTAAGACACTTGCACGTATACTGGGCTGATACACGTCTCATCACATCACGTGAAGACCTCCACTAAGATTTTTTCCCTCTTCACATATTTCCATTAGAGATAATGAGCATGGATAATGATTTTATAGTAGGAAACAAAACTAATGAAAATCAAATCAGAAAATGTAAAGTGGTATGCTGTCAGAGTCCAATAAAATAAGTCAATGCGCATTTATGTAGTGGTAAAGTGCTAGAAAGTTCTTTCATTAGTATTTTAAAAATGATTACAGTAAAAAGAAGGTTGCAGTTTCATTTGATGGTGGTGACCACAGGCACCATAGCAATGGCACTGGCTGAGTTGGAATTAATGATGTCCTCATACTCTGGGGGTGGGTCTAAATGAGGTTCTGTTTCACTCCTCCGGAGGTTCACCTGGCCAGTGGCTTCCTCATAGGTGGGTGGGGGATCACAGTTGGATAGGCGAGTGGAGACAGAATCGGAGCGCCCAACTACATATTCCAGAAAGCCTGGTGACAATCCACTGCTATCAAACACTTCGTCTGCTGGGGGAGGTGGAGTGATAATATTAAGGTGCTGTGGGAAAGGAATGTGGCCTTCAGTTACTGTCTGTCTGCGAGTTTTGTTTCTGAGGAAGCATCTCCAAATTAGAAAAATGACAAGAAGGATAATGAAGAGACCAAAGATTAATGGAAAGGTAAGGTAAAACTGAAACCAGTCACTTCCTCTGTTACTCTCTCCTTGTTGTGCTTTTGTATAGGTGTTCCAAAACTCCTTCTGAAAATAAAAGATAAAATAAAAATCAGTATGATCAAAAGATGGGAAATAGCAAATGAACAAATGTCTGGGTTCTATTAACATAATGAACCAAAAACCAAAACCAGATTTGTTGGTTTAAATAACCGACTGCCTATATTTTCCATGACAAGAAATTACAAATAAATCATGTTACGATGTTCACTCTGGATCCTTCCTAAAATGGTCAATGAGAACCCAAGAGTCTTTTTCAAGACTTGGGAGTTATTTATATTTTCAGCTATGACATTTTAGAAGGAAAAACAAAGCGTGAGAGATTTCCTGTTTTTCAATTAAACCAAATAATATTCCCTTAAAAATGTCAAATATTTTCCATGTCCAGCTCTGAAGTTTCTGATCCCTGATCCCCATCATCATTAATGGTATGTGCTATTTTAGGCTGTTGTAGGCCTTCAGTAGTCAAACGCTTTACAGATGAATGCTTTTGTTTTCTAATGGTTCTGTTTGAGGTCCCCTTCCACCAGACCTTACCCCTCAACTCCCTTTCCAACCCCCAAAATTTAGTACACAGATGTTCATTGAATGTCATAATTACACATTGCCCCTAGTAGAAAGCTCAGGCTAGTGAAGAAATTGTGTTAGGTTATTTCCAAACATAGACTATAATCCCAAAAGGCATGAGACCTAGTAGTTCAAATATTTAATATTTGAATGGGGGGAAATACTGAAAACATAAAAAGGTAACCTGACCCAATTACTAGCTCTGAGACTTGGACAGGTTACTCTTTTGAGTCTTAAATTTCCTCACCTGAAAAACAGGATAATACTAATCTGTCTTTATAGGCTGTCTAAGCATCATATGAAATAACATATATAACACGTCTAATTAAATCCTTGGCATATACACAAATGGTAATTATAATTTTTGTATATCATAATCAAGTCACTGCCTCAAATTCACTGATTAATCTATCCCATACCTTGGTATGGAGACCACCTCCAATCCCAATGCTACTGACTCTTTTTTCAATGTTTAAACCTAACCAGTAAGTGCTTTTCTTACAATCCTACTTATTTGCAGGCACTACACATCACTGATAGTAAATATCTGGCACCAAGGAAGGGAACCAGGTCATTATCTAAACGGGCAAATAGAGGGAGTTGGACTAGATTGGGGATTGTAATGCCAGATGTCCCATGATAGCATGGCATTAACATAAATCTATGAATCTGGTTAAAAGTAAGACACTGGGCACTAAAGCTGGTTGTTTTATAGTCATATATTTTATTAGTCACACAGGCTTTTTTTTAAAGAAAGAATATCTAGCATTTACAACATTACCAATTCCTAGTCACTATATCATTATCTATTCAAACTTAATTATACATACATTGCATGAGTCATTGCTCATTACTATTTGTTCTCTTCATCTTCCCTGATTTTGAAGTTGCTGTTCTATTTTGCAGTTGAATAGTCCTTTTTGAAGAATTTTCCATAGATGAGGCACATGGGAAATAGTCTATAAAATTTTGCAGCTCTATGAATAATTTTCCTTCACCCTGATTGGTAAATGTTATCATAATGATATTTCAGACTTTTAGGTTGTAGCTATCTTTTTCCCTAAGAAGTCTAGGTAGTGTTCCATGGTACTACAGTTTCCAATGTGCAGCTAAGAAATCCTATACTTGTTCGTTGGACTTTAATATTTATTTCTTATTTGTGAGATTTTATTTTTATACTTCTTTTTACCAGGCTGAGGCTTTTGGTTTTTGTTTTCTATCACTCTTATTTTTTATTAGATTATAATTGATATACAATATTATATTAGTTTCAGTATACAATAATGAGTTGATATTTTTATATATTACAAAATGATCATTTAGGTCTAGTTACCATCTGTCATCATACGAAGTTATTATAATATTATTGACTATATTCCCTCTGTTGTACACTACATCCCCATGACTTATTTTGTAACTGGAAGTTGTAAAATCTATTAATCCCCTTCACCTATTTCATCTGCTCCCCTCCCCTCTGGCAACCACCAGTTTGTTCTGTTTCTATGAGTCTGTTTCTGTTTTTTCTTTTCTTGATTTCACATGTAAGTGAAATTTTATGGTATTTGTCAATCTCTGACTTAGCACACTATCATCTAGGTCCATCCATGTTGCCACAAATGGCAAGATTTCATTCTTTTCTATGGTTAATAGTCCATTGTGTGTGTGTGTATACACACACACCACATCTTTATCCATTCATCTGTGGATGGACACTTAGGTTGCTTCCATATCCTGGCTATTATAAATAATGCTGCAATGAACATAGAGGTCCATATATATGTTTTTGAATTAGTATTCTCATTTTCTTCAAATCCCCAGAAGTGGAATTGTTGGATCATATGGTAGTTCTATTTGTAATTTTTTGAGAAACCTCCATATTGTTTTCCATAGTAGCATAGCATCAATTTACATTCCCAACAGTGCACGAGGGTTCCTTTTTCTGCACATCCTCACCAATACTTGTTAACTCTTACATTTTTGATACTAGCCATTCTGTCAGGTGTGAAGTGGTATCTCATTTGTAGTTTTGATTTGCATTTCCCTGATGAAGAATGTTGTTGAACATCTTTTCATGTGTTTTTTGGCCATCTATATATCTTTGGAAAAATGTCTATCCAGGTCATCTGCCCATTTTTTAATTGGGTTGGTTTTTCTTTGCCATTACTGAGTTTTAGGAGTTCTTTGTATATTTTAGATATCAACTCCTTATCAGATTATCATTTCCACGTATCTTCTCCCATTTAGTAGGTTGCCTTTTCTTTTGTTGATAGTTTCCTTTGCTGTGGGAAAGCTTTTTAGCTTGATATAGTCCCATTTGTTTATTTTGCTTTTGTTGCTCTTGCCAGAGGAGACAGATTCCTCCCCCACCAGAAAAAAATGGCTAAGACTGACGTCATAGAGCTTACTACCTATGTTTTCTTGCAGTTTTATGGTTTCAGGTCTTACATTCCATTCTTCTTTTTTAATTAAGTAGGCTCCACACCCAGCATGGACCCCAACACAGGGCCCAAACCCATGACTCTGAGATCGAGACCTGAGCTGAGATCAAAAGTCGGACACCCAACAGACTGAGCCACCCAGGTGCCCCACATTGCATTCTTTAATCCACTTTGAGTTGACTTGGCATGTGGTGTAAGAATGTGGCCCAGTTTCTTTCTTTTGTATGTAGCTGTCCAGTGTCCACAACACTATTTATTGAAGAGACAACACTGTTTATTGAAGAGACTGTCTTCTTGCCATTGTATGATCTTGCCTTCTTTGTCACAGGTTAATTGACCATGTAAGCATGGGTTTATTTGTAGGCTGTCTATTCTGTTCTATTGATCTATGTGCCTGTCTTCATCCCAATTCCATACTGTTCTGGTTACTATAGCTTTATAGTATAGTTTGAAATAAGAGATCATGACACTCCAGCTTTGTTCTTCTTTTTTAAGATTAGCTTTGGCTATTTGGGGTCTTTTGTGGTTCCATACAAATTTTAGGATTATTTGTCCTAGTTTCTTGAAAAATGCCATTGGCGTTCTGCTGTGGGTAGTATGGACATTTTAACAGTATTCTTCCACTCCATGAGCATAGTATCTTTCCATTTATTTGTGTTGTCTTCACTTTCTTTCAAAGTTTTCAGAGTATAAGTCTTTTACTTCCTTGGTTAAATTTATTCATAGGTATTTTATTCTTTTTGATGCAATTGTAAATGGGATTGTTTTCTTAATTTACTCTTTCTGCTACTTCATTAGTAGTGTATAGAAATTCAACAGACATCTGTATATTAATTTTGTATCCTGCAACTTTAGTTTTTTGGTGGAGTCTTCAGGACATTCAATATATAGTATCATGTCCCCACTGCAAATAGTGAAAGCTTTACTTCCTCCATTCTAATTTAGATACCTTTTATTTCTTGTCTAATTGGTATGGCTAGAACTTCCAATACCATATTGAATGAAAGTGTTGACAGTGGGCATCCTTGTCTTGTTCCTGATCAAGAGGAAAAGCTTTCAGCTTTTCACCATTGAGTAAAATGTTTGCTGTGGATTTGTCATATATGGCCTTTATTATGTTGAGGTATATTTCCTTTATACAAACTTTGTTGAGAGTTTTAAATCATAAATGGAGTTGAATTTTGTCAAGTGCTTTTTGTCTATTTTAATAATCATAGGATTTTTATCCTTCATTTTGCTAATATAGTGTATCACATTGATTTGTGAGTGATAAATCATCCTTGCATGCCTAGAATGAATCCCACTTGGTCACACTCTGTGATCTTTTTAGTGTGTGGTTGAACTTGGTTTGCTCATATTTTATTGAGGATTCTTGCATCTGTGTTCATCAGAGATTTTGGTGTGTAATTTTGTGTTTTTGTAGTGTCATTGTCTGATTTTGGTATTAGGGTAATAAAGGCCTTGTAAAGTTAGTTTGGAAGTGTTCCTTCCTCTTCAATTTTTTGGAATATTTAAGAAGGGAAGGTATTTTTTTTTTTTTAAAGATTTTATTTA